TACGTAAAACACATTAGTATAACACAAAACATTCCAATAATTCACACGTAAGTATAACACATTAGTTCTGTGGGCCTTTCCCTTAAATATTACTAAATTGAAGCTAATTTAAAAAAATGTGACCATTTTTATAAATGGAAAAAAATGTGACTAAGAAGGTTACATATTTGAAAAAATATAACATCACTCCCATTTTTTATATGTCAATGTCAGATCTTTATATTATTGTTATATGTCACTATTACATTCTTATGTCACTTTTGAATGTCATTACGACAATCGCATGTGTCACTGCCGCCGCCGGTGTCACTGCCGTTGGTGTCACCGTGTCACTGTGATCGTCGGGAAATTTTCCGGCAACCTTTTCCGGCAAAACGTAAATTTCAACCAAATCTACCCGCCACCCCGCTAGAGTGCCGCCACGGTCGCCACTGCCGCTGCCTTCCATTGACCAAACTCGCCCGGCAATGACCATACTGCGCCATCACTCCCCCATCCCCACATCATCATCGATGTCCCACCCCACACACCGTCACCTCCGGCGGGTGACGCCGCCGGCCGCTGGTCGAACCTCATCCCGCTGACCTCCAGCACTGTCATTTCCAAACTAGCTCCCATTGATGCCCACCACGACCCCACACCCCTCCCACGGCCACACCAACCATACCACACTCCATATTTAGATCTGACCTTGACCACAATCCCCGCCCCTCCACTCACCATTCGTTGAAGCATCGTCTTTGCGGGCGGCGCCAGACGGAAAGAAAAGAAAAAGAAGCGGGTAGGGCGACGATGACGGTGAAGACCACTGATGCGTCTGCTCTGTTATTGGTGTGGGGGCAAGGACGATGGCGATGGCAACAGAGACGGCCAAGGAAGCAGAGGAGGTGACGGCCAGGGGAGCGGAGGAGGCAACGGCCACGGGAGCGAATGCGGCGACGATATATCTGCTGCTCGGTGGAGGAGTTGATGATTCTGCGTTTGTTCGGAGGAGGTTGCACGCTACTAATTTCAACGAGTTCAATGATGCTTGGGCGAAGATGGTGAGTTCAACGTAGAGAAGATCTAAGGGCTGGGCTTTTCCTTCCTAAGGAGGTCACATTTTTGTCTAGGTGTAAAATGATCATATTTTTTCCTTTCAAAGTTCATAGGTACTCCGTAATATTTTACATATTTTTTATATTTCTATTGCACTGATTTACAATGTTATATCGATGCACATGTTATATAAGTAAGGTTTATAATTCCTTCTTTAAGGTTTACAGATTTTATTTTACTAATTTCATAATGTTACACAAGTGTGGATTCACTTAAAGCATTATACACATTTTCATGTAACACAAAATTCATTCCAATAGTTTTCATGTAATATTAGTCATTTTAGAAAATCATATCAATACACATTCCCTATAACTCAACAGTATTACATAATGTTTAAATATCCAACTAAAAAAAATTCTAAATTTGTTAAAAAGTGCATAACTAGAAAAAGATTAGTAAAATATATTCTAAACAACATAATTTATACAAAAACAAAAATCATACATATGTTAACATGTTAAATAAGTGCATCAAAGAACAATACAATTCATCATGAAAAGAATGAACATTTCACTTTGAACAATTTTCAAACACTTAATTGGCACCAAATATTTAGGACTTAATATTTAAAAAATCAGGTTTATTTCAACTGAAAGAGGGAGAAATATATTTAATCAAGTTGTCACCTAATTTGGTTTATTTTGAAATTCACAAGCATCAACTTTAGATGTAGGGTATGTTTGGCATAACTAGCTGAAAAGATATTATTTTATGATATTTTTATTAGCTATTAGATTTTTTTTGCAAGAAGGAATTTTAATTGATATTAATCAAATCATTGTCTAAAACGGATACAATAAAAGAAGGAGAAGTATAAAACCAAGACCGCAAATCAGGCACAGAACAAGCAGCTCTCCCAAGAGTATGGGCTGTCTTGTTCGCTCATCACCTAATATGACTAAAAGAAATGCTCGAAAAAAATTTCGCCAAATCTCTTATGTGTTCACCCAATAGGCCAACCGAAGAGCAACTTGATCCATGTAAAATCTCAGAAACCGCTCGCGCCGCATAAGTCTCGACCTCCATCTCAGTCCAACCATTCTCTTTAAGCCAGTTAAGAGCCTCTCGGATTCCGACGAGTTCAGCGTTTAGCAGTGATAATCTTCCCGGCCACGGACAAGCTGCCGCCGCAATGAACATTCCTTCTTCATCTCGTACACACCAGCCGAGCCCACAAATATTCTGCTGCACTGCTGCATGACTGCATCGACATTGAGTTTCATTCTGCCAGCTGCCGATCTGCACCACTTAGCTCCAGCCGAAGACTCGCTCCATTCCTCTTTGTCTTGCTTACGCTAGAGTCCAACTGTCAACAAAGGCTTGTGCTCGGTGAATGACCTGCTGGGTTGTGGACTTTACTCCATTCCAGACTCGATGATTTCGCTCGCACCAGAGAGCCCAGCAGCCCCACATTAGCTTCTCCAAAACTGCCCTCCTCTTGGTTTGAAACTCCAGATTGATTAGCTTTTAGTGACTGAGAAATTCTTAAAAGGAAAATGTGGTAGCTGTTTGGTAAAAAAAAAGACTGTTTGATCTAGTTCTGTTTGATATACAAGCTGTTAAGACCAAATAATTTTAAAAGATACACACTTTTGTCATCCTTACTCATTGTACCATCTCAAAAAGATCTTTTATTTGTAAAGAGCTCTTAAATTTGTCATGTTAAACATATCAATATTTTTAAATATAAAAAATGTTGATATAAAAAGAGAAAAGAAGAAAATGTGAAGAAGATCAAAGATAGAACACGCATGATTAAAGCAACAAGGAGGAGTAGATCATCTAACATTTGTCATCAAAGTTGTGATTATTTACAAAATACTCGATTGGGTAGTTAACACCTACGGCATGAGAGAGCCAATTAAAAAACAATAAGTAGAATATGTCTCTCCTTATTTGAACGATCTTATGTGTTTTTGGTAAGGTTTTCTTCACAATGTCAAACACATTGTCTAAATGTAGACATTGAGATAGACATTTTTGAGAAAAACTTACCAAAATCATAGAGGAAGCAGTCCCGCTCAGTTGGTTGCCGACTCACTCTCCCTAGTGGAAGGTTCCGCGTTCAATTCTCAATGAAGTGAGATTGATCCCAGTTTACCCCAGGCCCCCCAAACCCCTCCCCCGATGCCCCCTGGGGTAAAAAAAAAACTTACCAAAATCACATTAATTTAATTTTTTGTGTTTATCCCTCTCATGCCACATGTGTACTGTGCACATGATAACATTGACGATGTTCTTATAAACTTATAAGAGCAACCGCAATGCATGTAGTCTAGTGTAGGATAAAACGTGGAGATATTACCCGAAATAAGACTAAAAAGGTTTGAAAATTCCAAAATATGACTGTCATGATTTTATTCCCAAAATAGGACTAATTACTGTCATGTTTTGGCAGTACCAGACTTCAAACATGACAGTATTTTCCAAACTTGACAATAATTACTGCTATTTTGGGAATAAAAAACATGTCAATCCTATTGTGGAATTTTCAAACTGTTTTAGTTTTATTTCAGGAACTTTTCCCTAAAACATGCCACCTCATTAAATTAGACATTTTATACCTTAAAATCTCTCCAACGCATCTAGTCTATTGGTGAGTTGGCAAAAAATTAATTGCACTCTGTTCACATGACCTTCCGAGTGTAGAAAGGCCGAAGGACTTGCTGACTCACCATTTGCATTAAAAGCAATGTGCCGATACAAGGAAAGTAGAGCACTGGACAAAAATGGGGAGGAATTAAAAATGCGTATTACCTCTGTCTCTCTCCTAGCAACCTATTTCAGAGTTTTTTCTTCAAATCTAACCTATAAATTACATTGATTTCATGTATATGTGTCTATTTGTTTATCTGATGAATATTCAGGTCCGGCCAGGCCGGACCACTCCCCCCGTCCGGCCTCCTTCATTTGGGGGCCTTCCCGGTGGTATTTTTTGCTCAAATTTTTTGTGTAGGTTCCTCATCAAGTCTAGTTCATCTATACCAAATTTCAGCCAAAAATTCAATCGGGAAGGTCGTCAAATGATTTTTGCAAGTTAACTGGTCCGGAATATGTATTTTTCGGACCAGTTAACTTGCAAAAATCATTTGACGACCTTCCCGATTGAATTTTTGGCTGAAATTTGGTATGGATGAACTAGACTTGATGAGGAACATACACAAAAACTTTGGGTCAAAAATACCACCGGGAAGGCCGGACAGGAGGCCGGTCAGGAAATTCCTGACCGGAAGAGCACTCTTGTTTATCTAATCTCTATTTGATACTACGTATACTAAGTATATAATAACCTACTGCGGCATGTGTATTTTTTAAAGAAATACAAAGATGAATACCTGATAGCTTTCAAATACTGCGTAAGAAACAAGCCAGGGCAGCCGTATGTACAGAGTAATGGAGTATTTAATTTATTATTATTGTTTTATATTAATATAATAATCCACCTCAACAATTAATTAGGCGGTAGAGTTAGAGCATCTTCAATGGTAAAATGTGCACGGTGCACACGTGACATGAGAAATAGCCACATAAATATTAGTAAATAAATTCTTTCTCTCCTTATTTCAATGATTTATACAGTTTTGGTAAGTTTTTCTCTACAATGTCAAGGAGACCGTCTAGATGTTGACATTGTTGTTGACATTGCAGGGGAAAACTTACCAAAATTGTATAAAATCATTCAAATAAGGAGAGAGATAATTTATTTGCTAATATTTATGTGACTATCACTCATGCCACATGTGCACCGTGCACATTATAGCATTGGAGATGCTCTTACGGTACCGAATAGGTGTGGGTAGGAAAAAAGTCCATTATCCCAACACTTGGAAAAAACACTTCGAAATATTTGTACGAGAGATCATGGTGCCATAAATATATAATGCAGAGTACTACGTATAGATTATGATAGATAGAGAGCTAGCTATATATGCTGAACGATTTTATGAATTACGAAGTATTAAGTAAAGGTCTAATCAACCATGATATTCAAATGAGATTTTAAGCACAAGAAGTGCGGATAAGCAAATCGATTTCCAAGTCTTCGGAATTGGTAATCATGAGCGAAGTTCGTGAGTCCTAGGGCTGCCGCCGCTGGGTTTCTTTCTGGATTCTATCGTTTTCGATCGAAGTCCGGCTTTTATTTTTGTTCTTGTCCTTGTTTTCATACATCGGTTTTTCTAAGGATTATCTCAGGCTCGGCCGCTGCGTGGAGATGGAAGATATTGTTAACAACTATAGGAAGATGGCTATTGGGGAGACAGATAACGAACTCAATTTTGATACAGAGGAAGCCGATGAGGCGATGATGAGGAAGTGATCGAAGATCAGATTGGCTTCCCGGTGGTTGGGACGGCGATCTCCGATCGGAAGGTTAATTTTCAGGCGTTTCAGGATGCGATGACTTCAGCCTGGCGTCATGGTAAGGGGATATCAATCAAAGAAATCGATGAAAAAAGGTATCTCTTTACTTTTAATCATGTTTTAGATATGAACCGTGTGCTGGAAGATGGACCTTGGGTTTTTGAGAGAGATTTAGTGTTGTTGAAAACAGTTCAGCCAGATGACATCCCTGAAAAACTGATTTTATTTGAGGCAGATTTTTGGGTTCAAGTGCATAATGTTCCTCAAAAATTTAGAAATCTGAATCCTGCTAAGCGAATTGGGAACTTTATTGGCTCTTTTATAAAGTTTGATGAAAACAGTTATGGAGATAAAAAGAAATCTTTCTTGAGAATCAGAATTTGTATGGATGTTAGGAAGCCCCTGAAAAAGGGCACTTCTCTGAAGAAGGAAGGAAAGGGACATTGGGTTGATTTCAAGTATGAGAAACTACCCAATTTCTGTTTCATATGTGGGGTGATTGGGCATTCGGATAAGTTTTGCTCGTTACGATATGAGGAAGGAATTATTATTGAAAAATCTTTTGGAGTTGAGCTTAGGGCAGGAGGAGGCGCAAAGACTAGCCTAGCTGGCCCTAATAAGTGGCTTGTACAAGATTCTGTAAGCTTCAAGGGCGCCGGACAGCAGAGGAAGACTGAACTCAAAGAGGAGCTATCGGCTGAAACAGGGGCTAGTGCATCAAACCAAGGAGCGGGTGATATGGAAGGAGAACCAGGAGAAACTAAACGCAGAAGAATATGGGAGGACAAGCTTAAAGAGAATTCAGGGGATGAAGACATGGCGCTTGATGGGCCAAAAAATGGGGAGGCGGCGGGTCAGACCTCCTAGACTCGCCGGTTTTGCAGTGGATGGTTTTGATTAAGAATTCGAGTGCTGGAGTTTATTTCTTTCTCTGTCTTAGGTTTTATTTCCATGGATTGTCTGTTTTGTTTTGTTTTTATTCTTTTGCTTATTGTGAAACTCTTGCATTAGGTTTGGAGGTTGAAAGGTCTGCGGTAGGCGTCGTTAGCTTTAATTTGCCCAAATTCGGTCTAGCGAGTTATATTACTTTGTTTAAGGTGATTAACTCAGAGTCTCGGCCATGGGCGGATGGTTACATGCGGCCCTTTCATGTTCTTGTACTCCTGTTGATTGCTATTTTAATGATATAAGCGCCTTACGATGAAAAAAAATTAATTAGGCGGTAAGACTACGTGCATTGGAGTCATTTTTATATTTCATTGTCCGGTCAGTTTACTTTAATTCATTTTTATTAGAAAGCCTACTAATAATTTGACATGTGGTATAATTTATTTAGACTGGAAAGGGATGCATTGTGGATGCTCTAATTGGTGTACAATATAAATTGAGTTTTTCTCGAAATAATGCTTATTAAATAAATAATTCCCAAAATACTGTTAGATTCAAAATAATTCCCAAAATAATGCTGGAATAAACCATGGTTAGCAAAATAAACCATGGTTAGCAAAACCGCCACTTGAAGTTGCGGCTCATGCATACCATCGATAGCATACGGCCAACCAAAGTGAAATTGAAAAATGGGTCTATCCAAAAAAAATCCCCTTTATTTTAAACAAGTATAACTTTTTCACTTGTGCTCGGATTGTTAAATAAATATATCAAAATTTATAAATTTTTATTATCTTTCATATGACACTAATATTGCATATAAAAAATAAAAATAAAAAATTAGCCATTTCAAAAAACTTTTGTTTTTTAAAGTGTTGTATCTTTTTTATTTTAATTCCGATCGTTATAAAAAATATATCAAACTTCATGATTTTTAATTATCTTTCATATGACACCAATATTGCATATATAAAAATGTAAAAATAATTTGGCACTTTAATAAAAATGTCTTTCATATATAAAAAACTGCCAAATTATTTTTTCTTTTTTATATACGCAATATTGGTGTCATATGAAAGATAATAAAAAATCAAGAAGTTTGATATATTTTTTGTAACGATCGGAATTAAAATAAAAAAGTTACAACACTTTAAAAAACAAAAGTGTTTTGAAATTGCAATTTTTTTTTTATATGCAATATTGGTGTCATATGAATGATAATAAAAAGTTATAAATTTTGATATTATTTTTGTAACAATCCAAGCACAAATGAAAAATTTACAACAGTTTAAAATAATGAGGGTTTTTTTTTGGATGGGACCATTTTTTGCTAATCATGGTCCAGTTTAGCATTATTTTGGGAATTATTTTTAACCCAAGGATATTTTAGGAATTATTTATTTAATAAACATTATTTCGGGAAAAAACTCATATAAATTGCGTAAGAATAAAGATTAAGTGTACATAATACTATACAAGAAATTCAAATTTAAAAACACACTTATCAAACATGGAATTCAAGAAAAATGAGTAATAACTTCCGCAAAAAAACATGAAATACGGAGTAACATATACTCCTTGCATGCCCGAGAAATGTTCCTACATTTATTTTATGATAGAAAACAAATGTCAAATTAATCATTAAATATTAAAATTAATACATTTATACCATCACAGTTATCAACGCTAACTCCATTATATTATACACAAGTACATATTAAAATCATTTCTCAAAATATACTCGAATTACCTTATTGAATTATTGCCAAAATAATCGTACCGTTTTGTCACGGGAAGCTTTCCATGAGATGAAGGTAGTAAAAAAGAATTGTGGTGGGAAATTTGGATCAATGACCAAGGTTTGAATCCCCGCAGCGACCGGGTGAAGGTTACAGAACCTGAAATAAGGCTGGACCTCTGGTGCGCACGGGTGTATGGCCTACTGCCACTCTGCTGACTGAGTTACCGTGACTTACATCCTCCCATATGCTCTGTCGGGTCGGGGCGTGGGGGCGCTTGGGGTTGGCGATTCAACCTTTTCGATCAAGTAAAAAAGAATTGTAAGTTTCCATGGTTAACTGGTTAACCATTCAAATGCTTGGTCAATACTGTACGTCTGTACCTTTTTCCTAGAAAAAACTGTGAACGTGGTAAATGAGAAAAGCAAAATAGACAAAAAGCTACTATTAGAAAAGAAAACGGAAAAGAAAACTCCATGAGTAAAAAAGGGAAAAGAAAATACTTTTCCGTACAAGTTGATGCATTTTCCTTTTACATTTCCCTTCTTTTCCAATTCAAATCTTTTTATCCGTATTTGGTTTGAATGCCGATCTTAATAATAAGAATTATTATCATCATTATGCTTATGTTTATGATTACTATATTATGCGTGATGTTAATATCTTTTATTTTCTTTATTGCTGTTATTATATTATTATTGGTGTTATTATTTTAATGAGAGTAATGGCTGTCTTCATGACTTGCCAACCTAATTTCACTTTCCCCAACTACGCTTTCTTTTGAATTTTTATTTTGATTTTTTTTTTAAATCTTTTTCAACCGGACTCCAAAAAATTTCTTAACCAAAATACATAATTTCGTTGCTTTCTATATCTATAATTAATAATTACGGATCTAATATTTAATAATTTCTTTTTCCTCATTATTACTATTATTTAATTATTTAATATCAGGATTCGGATAACCATAAGAGGAAACCCAAATTAAATTTTACTTCTCAAACGCCATTTTCACATTTTCCTCATCACTTCCAAACTAAAAAAAATAAAATTTTCTCTGTTTTATTTCTGAAAAATCTAAAGTAATTTCGTTGGTTTTCTTGAATTTCTTCAGTACCTTTCTCCCATTTGACTCTGTTGTACTTGTTCTTTTGAGCAAGGGCAAAGCTTCTAAACATTAATTCTGATTTTTTTAAATCTTATTCTTAAGGTTTGAACTTTGAAGTCTGTTTTGAATTTTTTCTGGATTTTCCGGGGTATTAATTTATGTTTAAACTGGTTTAGCGCTAAATTTTGGACTTTGGAGTTGAAAAAAGTATGGGTTTTTGAAGAACAGCTGAGAAAAAAAAAGTGCACAATTTTTTATTTTTATTTTAGTTTTGGGGGAAAAAATCTGTTCTTGCCATTCTTGGTCAGTATCTGGGAGGTATGGAGACAAGAGAGGGTTTGAATGGGAGTGAAGTAAGAGTGGTGGGATCAGATGTCCCGTCAGACTACCGTGTGTCTCCAAGCCAAGTTGCAGAAGGATCAACCCATGCACCACAGCACATGGGTGTCTCCTCACATCCGCCTCCGGCCGCCGTCTCCGGCGGAGTAGATGCCACTACAATGAAGAAGAAGAGGGGAAGACCAAGAAAGTATAGCCCTGATGGGGCGGCCCTGTTTAGCCTCCCCATCTCACCTAAGCCGATCTCCTCGTCGGCCCCACTTTCTGTTATAGACTTCTCAGCCATTGAAAAGAGGGGAAAAGTCCAACCTGTGGGGCCAGTTAGCAAACCCCGCCAGCCCAAGTTGGATTTTGATCCTTCAGGTAAAGATTTGGTTTCTCAAGCCTTTGAATCTGAGTTTTTGTAGCCTTATGATGTTCAGAGCCCGTTTGGTAGCCTGATCCGGCTTATTGGTAGAATTAGTGGAATGAGCATAAATAGCAGCTTTTACTTATTTTGTGGAAATAAATGTTACCAAAGCTATTTTTGCTAAATAACCCTTGCCAAACGCGCCTTAGGTTGATAACTCTGTTTGCGTATGAGGAAATGGTCTGTTTGGGTTTGTTAGTCAGATAGATTTTATAGAGTTTGGTGATGTTCTTTAAGTCTGTAATCTGATTGAGATTGGAAGGAGTGGGACCTCTGAATAGATGCCTCAACCCATGATCTTTTGATGTTTTATGGGTACTTCTCAAAGTCTCAGGTGGGATGAGAAATCTTAAAGTTTCTCATAGCTGGCATTTTTGTTTCAGAACAACAATGAAGGTGCTTTTATGGGTCAATAATATATGTTCTAGTAGTCAAAACACACACACACATATAAATGATTGTTTTGGCTTACACTTTTTTTGTGATTATGACCTATAAATACACACATAGAGTGCGGTTCCAACAAAATGAGCGTCTCTCGTGAAATATAAGAACGAGTGCACACTCAATGTGAAGCACGACAATTACACTTTTTTACGGTGTTAAAAAACTTTGATTTATTTACCACACTCTCACTGTATTTTTGATAAATCTATTGCATTGTTGGCATATTTAGAGTTATTAGATCTCAAAATTAAAAGCCCTAGAGTCATTCTTATTTTTCATGAGGATTCTTTTTATTTGATCCTATATGTATGTTTGGGTATGTAAATGTTGCTGATTTTGAGTTGTCTCTTGATACTTAGGTGAATGGATATCTACCTCACTGGGTGCCAACTTTACGCCCCACATAATCACAGTCAATGCTGGGGAGGTAAAAATTTCATAACCATTGGTTTATTTGACAAGTATATCGATGATCATAAGGCTACGTTTGGTGGTACCCTTCGGCTTGTTCTGCGCATTAGTAGGAAGAATAAGAATAAGCAGAATATATTTGTATATGTATTTTATTATGTAATTTGAACAACTTCTACCTTCTGGCAGTTCTGGGTAAGTAAAATTTTATCATTTGATTTGCTTAGGATGTTACCATGAAGATCATATCATTTTCTCAACAAGGGCCTCGAGGAATCTGTATACTCTCAGCTAATGGAGTGATTTCAAGTGTCACACTTCGCCAACCTGATTCCTCCGGTGGAACACTTACTTATGAGGTATATATTAGAATATCAGATAATCAGATTAGAATTACTAAGGTTTTTTTACCTGTTTCTGGACTGTCATAGTGTCATATAAATTATACTACGCATTAATTTCTTTAAATCCATTTCCACTTTTTCATAATTGAAATTACATTTTTACCCAATAATAGAGCCATCATTTCTCTTGTTTTGGAAATATAATTCAAAAACATAATCAACCACCAAGAGAAGTAAAAATACACTGAAATTTGGTTAAATGACTAGTAGTATATTTTAGATTTAAAATAATATGAAACAATATGAAATTTGGTTGAATGACAATATTTTAGATTTAAAATAATATGAGCAAAAACAATATGAAATTCCAAAATAGGAGTAATATGGAGTATGTTTTTCCCTAAATAGGAGTGCATTACTTCTATCCTGAAATAATATTGCCATATTTTGGCCTTACCGGGCGTTAATGTGGCAGTATTAATGCCTTAATTTGTAGAATTTTCCAAGCAAGATAATTAAACCTATTTACGGAGGAAAACATAAACTCCTAATTTCGAATTTTATATTGCTTTTACTCCTATATAGGCAATCTCTTTTTCAAATATTTATAGAGTAATTGCGAACAATCTAAATAAACTACTTAATATTAGTTTAATACGTAATATATAATTTTTTATGCTTAATTGTAGCAGTGTACTCTGCCTACATCTTTTAAAAATAACGACAGTTTATATACTTATAAAAATAAAATAAAAATTAATTTCAATACTACGTACGATTATGTGCCTACATCTTGTAAAGATAACGAAGTAATTTGAATATGATTTTGAATTTGCATATACATCTTTTTTAACTTGAAATATTTCTTATTTTTAATGTGGAAGGCATGTAAAAAGTAAGACATTATAATGATATTATATTTTTGTTTACCAATATGATTTAAATAAACAGCTTGATAGTTATATATGTATATATTTGATTTGTATAATACATACGGAGTATTACTTAATCAGGAATACAAAATATTAACAATGCTTCCTACATTTACTTTTTGTTTTTTTTTTCTTGACTTTTTTTATAGAACCCATTATAGGTTTGAGTTTTGCCAATGGCTTTAATTTTATTCTATAGGGCCGTTTTGAGATACTGTCATTGACTGGATCATTTATGCCGTCTGAGACGGGAGGAATCCGTAACAGATCAGGTGGGATGAGTGTTTCTCTAGCAAGCCCCGATGGACGAGTTGTTGGTGGTGCTGTTGCTGGTATGTTAGTAGCCGCTGCTCCCATTCAGGTATACTATACATATTTCTTTTATCTTTTTCCTAGCTACTTTCTCTAGAAATGATATCAAAAAGGGGTTATATACTACTCCATGATCCTTGTTAACATACCCTTTAAGAAGTCGTTTTTTCCACAAATGACTCCAAATAATGATGCGATACAATGATATTAGTAGTATTTTGATTTTTTACAGACTAGCTTGCCCTTACATTTGTCCCCAAGAATCTTTTTAACTTGTCTCGAGGCATGTTACGTGTCTCACATTGAATGTTTTCTAGATGTTTTCAGTGAGCTTGACCCAATTTTATCAATCCTTCATTTCTTTCATCTCATAAGGGCACACATCCTTGTGGTTCAATACATCACCTGGACCGCACATCTTTTAAAGGGCAATGCCAACCGTTGACTCAAATACCACATTTAGCTTTGGATCCATTCCTAAATGGTCAAACCACATCTAATATTGATTTGTTATTTCATATTTTCTCAAAACAATGTAGAATAACTTTTGAACACCCACTTATGATAATGTCTTGAGGACCATTCGGTAATTTGAGTGAATATCAAAGAAGGTAGGTGTAATCAATCTTACAAAAAGAACAAAGTAGTTGTAAATTGCATTTGTTTATAATGAATGTTATCTCTTGTTAATATATGCATCAAACAGATTGTAGTGGGCAGCTTCGTTGCCGAGAATCAACAGGAGCAGCAGAACACTAAGAAACAGAGGCAGGAGAGAGTTGCAGTTGGTGCTTCTGCTCCCATCCGCAGTCCAGAAACTGAAAACTATTATCGCACTTCTGGGAAGCCCGCCTTGTTATCCCCCTCTTCAATCCATCTGCACCCAGACTCTAGGAATAAGCCAACTGATATGAATGAGCCTAGCCTGCATAACATGGTAAGTTAAGGGGATGAAACAATCAATTCTCACCCAGGCTTCTTTTACCTCAACCATTTTGGTGTCAAGTAAAATCCTTGTATCTGCAAATTAATTAATTTCATTAAGATCTGTGTTGTAATACTTGATGAGAGAGTAGTGCATTAGATAGGCAACTATGCTCCTCAGTGGTGTAGAATGTTTAGATGTATTAGTAGGACTGTTGAATTTCACCTTAATTGAGATTCTGTTATTTATTTTGGTCTTATGTTCTGAGCCTCCTGCATTATAGTCATAGTTATAAACTTGTAGTACATTATTAAAAGATATGAAACATACAATTTTAAGATGCACAGTAGACCCATGATTGATTTTGAGTTCTAACTTCTAAGCAAGAAATTCAGAATCAATTCCAAATCGATTCAGTTTTGCTTTTAATTCCAAATCAATTCCAAGCGGTACTGGTCTAGTCAGTACCTGTACCTGATTTTGCTTTTAATTAACAAATTCGATAGGAATTGGTCCGACTTTACCGAATGTAAAGTCATTATTGGTTCTGATCACAGTTTGTGCCTTAATGTGTACAAACCCTTACCTTAAAATGTGAGAATTGGTAGACTACAAAGGACGTGCAAGTCTTAGTTCCTTTCATCAAACAAGTAAAAAAGCCATGCTTGCAAGTTGCAACTCTTTGAGTTCTACATGTGGTTTAATTGACCAGTTTTGTGACTTACACAACTAAGGAGATGATGAAGAGAATAACAAGATACCCAAGTTTCCAAAGCCTTTGCCTTTTCTCCCAATTGAGCTGGTTAAAAATCTCGGTCACATCCATAAAGTGTTGTTTCTGCAAATACCTAATACAAAGAAATAACAGAAAAAGAAACTCGAGCGAAATCAAGAATGCAGGTTATAGATAAATTTATTTACTCTAAAACAAGAAAGAAAGATGACCAAACAAATACATTGAACTTCTAAAGAGTGCAAAGCTTCTAATGCATATGAAATCTTTCCTTGACGCATCACAACAAACATGACTTACATTCAGGAGGTTATGCATTTTAGAGTTTTATACTTATACTAGGTCTTGCATAGTAATCACAAAACACTTCAATTACAATTAGTCTTGTAGTGGTTTTTAGAACTTACAGGTGCACATCGTAGTATAAGTAAGGACAGCAAAGAAGCGACATAATCCAATGGCCGGTTCCTAGATAGAGTAAGCACAAAACTCCTTGTACAATGAACTCGGGAAGAACAGCTTGGTTAATCCTAGAGGCAGAATCATAAGGGTTGATATAGTCGAATTCTAGATCAGCCAAACACATAAGCTGTGAAAAAAAATTAAACTATTAGATCATGTATTAAAACACAACAATTTTTTCAAAAACAAACCAAAACATACATTAAAATTTATACTCCCCCCGTCCCACAAAATTTAGTAAAGTTTGACTCACATGTAGCGTAATAAAGTAAAACCTGTGGTTGATATTTGTGCAGAGGGGGCATAAATAACTTTAATAATATACGCAATATTTATGGTGTTTTTCATTGGACTGGAATTTTATGGTCTAATCTGGTCTGACATGTTTAAGTCTAATCGGGTTTGGTCAGAACTAGTTTGATAGATGTTTGGTCAATGTATTTTATAACGGTCGCAGTATATTCAAATAACTACAAATTCATGATTAAAATGAAGGTTGCTTACATTAAATGTTACTTAATAAATGTAATGATTATAGTAGTAACTGTAGTATTATACTAGAAATAATTACATACATATGACTAAAATAAAGACTCTTTACAAAAATGTCACTAGTGAATAGAGAGTAGTAATGGAGTCATAGGAACTTATGTTCAATTTTTATTCCCTAAGTATGAGTAATTATTGACAAGTTTAGAAAATACTTCTTGTTGTGGTAGTATATAAGCTTAAAATATAGTATTTCGATTTTGAAATCTCAACACGTTTTTACTCCTCTTTCAAAAAGTTTACTTAAAAAGAATTGAACAACCAAAACCTAAATCCTAAACCCGTTACTCAGATTCGTTCATGTCAGACTAAGTCAGACCCGACCAGAAAAAAATAATTTCAATCCAAGTGAAAGCCCTCGAAAAGTTTATATCTAGGGCCAAAGTTTAATGTTTTGACATACAATTGTTGTAGATGAGATATTACTCCGTAAATATTTGTGTGAGTATGCAATTAGAAAAGAATTGGAAAATGGAAAACGGAAGCCATCGGTACTGTTCATTTGGGAAAAGCATCCTTTTGCATGGAAAAAGAAACAGATGAGATAAATAAATCGACAGAATATAATCGGGCGAAAAAGGGAAAATGGGTATGGAGATGCCAAAAATAGCAGAAAAAAGAGGGAAATGGACCTGGAAAACAACCAAAACGATGATAGCGAGGAGCAGGAAGAACAAAACCACCCATACCCACATATCGATCTGCAATTGGCTCGCTTGTCGTGGCCGGGTACCAATTAATCACGACTATTTATACGTACGCACACCAATTAGTCAGGAGTATTATTTGTCCATATATCTACGGGTTTTCTCAAATTTAGTCCCCTCCCAAATTGTCTCAATCAACCATCAATTTGTGTACATCCGGCCCCCTTACCCCACTTAGGTAATGTTGTTGTTGTTTTTGAGTATTTTATCCTAAAAGAATGTAAGATAAGAAATTTTAGAGGGCCTGGAAAGTGCAGCTCTTTATAGTTTATACGGCACAACTAACAAAATAGAAGAGAACAAAGAAAAAAGATTATAAAAACAAATGGTTAATTATATGTAAGTAATGAATATGGGGTGATGATGATATGATAGCTCGTTCACAACGGAGTTCCTATCAAGTGAAAAAGATCACCTCATATGAATTTGAAACAAAAGGGGTCCCAACTAAGTTACTTTAAAATAGGAGTTTTTTCCCGAGGGGTATTTTCTAATCTTATTTCCCAAAACATGATAGTTTTAAACTTATTTCCCAATTAGGAGTACTTTTACCTAGGGCTGGGTCCGAAAAACCGAAAACCGAAAACCGAATCAAATTAAATCGAATCGCAACTAAATAAAACCGAACCGCTAAGAAACCGAAACCGAATGTAAAAAATCGAACCGAACCGAAGTTGTTCGATTTGGTTTTGGTTTTTACCCTTCAAAACCGAACCGAACCGAACCGAACAAACCGAATTATTTAAAATATGAAATTTATATTTTAATTGTTAAGCATCAATTCTAGTTAATCTTAATATCATCAATAGTCTTTGGTTTTCTTGTGTTAGAGAAATAATGTTTGTGTTATATTTAATTTAATTTAGTTTATAAATTCATTTACACATTCATTGTCTGTAATAATAACTATATTGAATGATGATCATATGTGTTTACTAGTTATTAGTAGTAATTAACTTTTATTTTTAGCTAACTTAAAGATTTTATATTGATAAAAAAATAAATATTAATCTCAATTATATCACATAGAACATATATATTCAATAAAAAATTTCAAACTACTCACAAACAAATTAAATCAATAATATATACAATTTTATCTATCTCGCATACTCATAAAATTCAAGACATATTTATCTCTTCTCATTTTTATTTTATTTGTCGTTATATTGTGCTTGAATTCTTTATGTAATATGTTTGATCCCTCTAATTATTATATCAATTTAAAATCAAGTGAAAAATTTTGGTAAAAAACCGAAAAAACCGAAACCGAACCGAAACAAACCGAACCAATCAAACCGTGGTTCCAAGTTTTGGAGTGTAAAACCGAACCGAAATCGAACCGAACTTTTTACTTTGATTCTACATTTGGTTTTAGGTCAAAACCGAACCGCGAGAACCGAACCCACCCCTACTTTTACCTTGTCATCATGTCATGTCAGCACTCTAGCTAAATTTCATTTCCACCACTAATCCAGATCAGTTATGTACCTTATATGTATCCGTACTCCAATAGTATCAGCCGTAAAGCAAAAAAATCGAAGCATGTGGGAATCAAACCGACGCCCTAAACTTTGGAATTTCAATGCTTACACCACCTGGCCGTCTTCTTTTCTGGTAACGTTTTGATATTTAAGCGACCTAATATTGTTATATAATAGAAGTAATAATATTAATAATACAAATAACAATAATAATAACAATATATTTACAATAATAAAAATTTTAGTCGTTATTTTTGTTATTATGTATTGTAATTGTTGTTATTATTGTTGTTTTTGTTTTTAGGGAAAAATAATTTTAAATATTTTAAAAGATGTGTGATGTAAGCATCTCCAAACTTTCATATGTAATATTTATATCGTGAACTTTATACAAAAAGTAATATTAGTACCACGAACATAGTTTTTTTTTTCTTTTGCAATTCCAATGTAAATTTATGATACTCTGAGAACTACACTTATATATTTTTTAAAATTTATTTCAACAAATATGACTCATAGTTACTACAATATATAATGTTATGGTAACTTAAGTTTAAAAATTGAATATAAGTTACTATGATTTCACTACTACTCTAGTCACTATTCACATTTTTGTAAACAATCTTATTTTAGTCACAAATATGTAATTAGTATTGATATCATCATCATCATCATCATCATCATCATCATCATCATCATCACCACATCATCATCATCATCATCACCACCACCACCATCATCATTATCATTATTGTCATTTTTATTGTTATTGTTGCTATTAAAGTGTTAAATTAGTTTTTTTTATATAGTCAAAATTGGTGTCATATAAAAGATCATAAAAAGTTATAAAAAGTCAATATTGACATATTATATGTAACAATTGGAGTACAAATAAAAAAGTTATATCGCATTAAAATAAACATGAGATTTTATTTTAGTGGAGACGTGATGAATTCTAATTGAGCACGACAAAATTTTCACAAAAATCAATATATATATATAAAAGAGGAACTTTTTAAGAGCATACAAAGCGCCACATAATCGTGCCATGTCATTATATATATTAATTATTTAGTTAATTTGTACCTTGTATTTTTATTAGCTAGATTCTATTTTTGATTGCACATTGATATGGAAACAAAAATCCGTAGAAAGTACTATATTAAACAGGCTCTATTTTAGGCTAAGTTTATATATGACAGGCTCTATTTTCTAAGTTTATATATGACAGGCTCTATTTTAGGCTAAGTTTATATATGACAGATATTCTTAGCCAAAAATACAATACATTTTAATTTCTATAACAATTAAATGTTATAGTATACGTTTAGGCTTAGAATTATACGTTTTAATTCCATTATAACAATTAAATGTTATCGTATACGTTTATACGTTTCGGCTTACAATTTAAAAAAACAGGCTCTATATTTAGACTATTTTACTTAATATATACTCCGTATAAATTTCTATGAATATCCATCTTCATAAGATTATATTAAACGTTTAAAATCGGGTTCATAGCAATTATATTTACTCGAGATGCTTATGTAGAAGATCAATTTAACTATTTTTCATATAATCTTTTTCCGGCTTCACAAATGGAATATATTTTACATATTTTTTCATGATTCCACTCATTTAGCTCATTCAGTCATAATTTAATCAATTTGAGTAAAATAAGTTAATTCAATTTATTTTAGTATTATCAAAACAGGCTATGTATTAGACTAAGTTTATTTTTCTTTTAAATCACATTACATATGATCCGAAAGAAATCAAATTTCAAATTAGCTAAATTACATCTGCCCGTGCATCGCACGGGCTTTAAAGCTAGTAACAACTATTTTTATAACGTAGTATTATTAGTAGTATTATTTACTACGGAGTATTATATACTAGGGTGTATTATTTACACGTATGATTTCTATTTTTATATTATTATTATTGTTATTACGTAGTACTACGTACTCCATTATTTACTACGGAGTATTATATAACAACTTAACAACTTAACACCTATTATTATTAGTATCCTTAAATATAAGGAAGAAGCATCAAACGAAGCCAGCTCTGTGGTCTAAGGATTGAAATTTCGGCGTGGGTTGGATTCCCATATGCCACGGTTTTTTGCTTTTTAGCTGATACTCCGGTACATGTATACATGTGCAGTGTGCTGACCTGGATTAGTGATGTGGCCAGGTGGAAATGAAATTTAGCTAGAGTGCTAACATGACATGATGACAACACAAAAGTACCCCTAATTGGGAAATAAGTTTAAAATTACACTGTTTTGGGAAATAAGATTAGAAAGTACCCCTCCCCGGGAATCATTATCTTTGATTATAGGAAAATCATTAGCTTACTAGAATTTAGACAAACAATCCTAGTTGAGAAATGAGTAGAATATATATTTATTTGACATGCCGAAGATAGTAAATCATATTGTTTCTATTCATAGAACTTTCAGTCACAATTCACACTATTATTAAGTCAAGTGGAATGTTTTTGTTCACTTGCATTCATAGGCCTCATACATAGCTCGATTACTTCAAACAACATGAGTTGAAAACCACCTATCATTGTGGAGCTTCTATGATTTGTTTTGTATGGTGAAATGTAGAGTTTTTTTATGAAATTTTTATGGAATTTTTCAAAAAATTATTTGACTACCTTCCTGATCAAATTTTTAGCTAAATGTTTTTGTGAATAAACTAGACTTGATGAGGAACATTTCATAAAAATATCATCAAAAAACTCCACCGGGAACTGCCCCGAACGGCGGCGGCGGCAGGGGCGGACGAAGAATCATGTCCCTCCGACTATACATACATACATACATACATACATACATACATACATACATACATACATACATACATACATACATACATACATATATATTCTCTGTTTCGCCTGTTCATGTTTGTTAACATTAAAAAAACAGTCATTGTTAACACTCGAAACAGAAAACCTGGTCATTTAATAACTTCTTTGAAAACTCAAGCTGCCAAAGAAAAAAAAACTCTTATTTTATTTCCTCAATCACTCCTAAGTTCTTTCTCCTTCCAAAACTTGCTCAAAACTCAGCTTTTCTAAAAAAAAAAAATCTAACTTGTTAAAACTTGGAAGATTGGGTATAGCGCAATGCCACAATGCGTCTAAACATTGTTGCCAATACGATATTAGAGAATAAAACTAGTATTTTTCATGTAAAAAGGGGAAAAAAAATAGAAAACATGTATTGCCTTAGTAAATTTGATTACTTTCTTTTTCTTATTGCAACACACTTTACCACTTTATGTAATAGTGTAATACAATTTTTGCTACTTTATTTCATGTGTCACCCAAGTACCCAACGTGGCAAAGTTACAAATGATGGGGGATGTACTCTTTTTCTTCAAAAACATAACATCTTATTCTTTGAGAGAGAAAAAATCATATTTTGTTATATTTTAACCTTAGAAACCATTGTCAATATAAGATTCTGATTTCTTTATCTCGTCTTGAATTTTCAATAAACAGGAGCACACCAGTTGACAAAAAGAGAGTCATTCACTCATCCATGCTTCTAAGTTCCAAGTCAAAAGGCAG